GCTTCCTCGAAGGGCTCTCTTGGTACAAACAACGAAGCACTGACTGGGCCCTCCACATGGCCTCAAAAGATCGTCAAATTTAAGTCAAAATTACAAGGAGTTTGTTTGAGGGCACCTGCTTCCTGTCAAATCTGAGGTGGGCACCTACTCTTTGGGCAGTGCCCTTTGTCACATCCAAGGGGAGGTGATCAGCGAGCTGCTCAGCGGCTGCTTTGAAGATCCACTCTTGAGAAACGCAGCAAACGTAGCAGAGCGCAGTAAAGGCTCTGCAAAGGCTCTGTCCGCAGCCAGGTGGCATGAACGAGACAATCACGATGTCTCAATGTGCACTCCAACGTGGTGTGTCATACAAGGCTCAGCTGGGATGCTTTGATTTTAGTTTTTTCATGCTCCGAGAAGCATCGCTTTCGCATCAGTGATCCTCACAGGCTTTCGCTTACGTGGAGGGCTTGAATTCTTCCTATGTCAGAGCCTTTGATTGAGAAATTATTTTTGATTTCTGTGCATTTATCTTCGGCCCAAACTGAGACTGATGGTCAAGCCTCAGCTGCCATATCTGTGCTTGCCAGTTCCTCAGCCACTCTGCAGTTGAAGCAGTTGAAGGACATCAAGGAAACCGAATCACACAGCGATGGCCTCCAACCTACTAGCAATGGCCTCCAACCTACTAGCGTTCTTGCTCCTAGTAGCGATGCCAGGAGCCCCTAGTAGCGTCCTTGTTCTTAGTGGAACCAGAAGCACACAGCGAAGACCGTGCAAACGTGGAGGTTCCGCCAGTTTCGATGAAGTTTCAATCACTTCCCATGCTGGCTAGGGCCTTAGCTTTCTGAGCGAGAAGCGGAATTGTGGCTCAAACAAGCTACGTTTTTTACATGTAAGGCCAGGAGCTACTAGTAGCGTCCTTGTTCCTTGTTCCTAGTAGTAAGGCCAGGAGCTACTAGTAGCGTCCTTGCTCCTAATAGCGATGCCCTTTGCTACTAGTAGCATCCTTGTTCCTAGTAGTAAGGCCAGGAGCTAAAAGTGTTGCAAAGTTAGACCGCTTTGACCTTGTGCACATCGAGGCTCAAACTGTGCTCACGGATCAAATTTCTTTCACTTTCACCGCGCAGGTGAGGAGATCGCTCTGGTTTCGAATCCAGATGTTTTTCTTAATGAAGATTCAGCAGGTTTTGCGCAAAATTCAAGCTACTCGATTTTTGTTATGTTTTTTTAAAAGCCCATTCTTGCTTAAGTAAAGGCTAAGTTAGCTCCCAGGTAGGACACAGGATAGCGTACTATTCATTTGGTTCCTAGATTGAAGCATGTGGACGATGGGAAGCGTGCATGCGCAGTGTGCATGTTTGGCTTCTTTTGGAACACTTGGACGCTACTAGGGGCTCCTGGCCCTACTACTAGGAACAAGGACGCTACTAGGAGCAAAGGGCCACGCTACTAGGAGCAAGGACGCTACTAGGAACAAGTGCATCGCTTCTAGTAACAAGTGCCTTACTAGTAGTAACAAGGACGCTACTAGGAACAAGTGCCACGCTACTAGGAGCAAGAAGCTACTAGGGGCTCCTGGCCCTACTACTAGGAACAAGTGCCACGCTAGTAGTAACAAGTGCCTTACTAGTAGTAACAAGAAACTATTAAAATTACTTTAAATTAATTCTAATAGCTTCTTTGTTACTACTAGTAAGGCACCTGTTACTACTAGCGTGGCACTTGTTACTAGTAGTAACAAGGACGCTACGAACGGGGAGACGCCACCGTACGTGCGACTCGGACGAGAGGCGATGGACCAGGGTGCTACAGCCACCGTCACCGGCAACTTTTGGGCCATGGCCAAGCCGGCAGAACGTTGCCGTTCCAAGGGACACCTTCGAACGTTGACACAGTGCTGCAGCATTCGCATTGCTTTAGGGTTCAGTCAATCCACTCAAGAAGGCCGTTTGGGATAGTCCGAGGACCATTTTCATTTCCTTAGCCTTTTTTTTTTAGCCACTTAAAATATCTAAACCAAATCTTTGTGTAGCCAGCAGCTTCAGTGTGTAAGAGTCAGAAGGGATTGGCTTACTAGCTGCGACCCTTACTAAACCGTAGCCCCCACCTGATGAAGTGGCCAGGTGGTCACAGAGTTGCAAGCGGCGCTGTTGACGCGCACATCGGTGAAGATCCTCACGGGTGCTTTGGGTGGCCGGAAGCTTGGTGGAGCGACGGTCCAACCTACAAAGGCGATGGCCTCCAACCCGTATAAGAATGCAATGGGGTCTTGAAACAGGGGCCATTTTGGTGACTTTTTTTTTCCTAAACGTTTTTTAAGTCCTTTGCATCAAAGAAGTCAGATCACGGAGGCTTCAGTCAACCTCAAGCAGCTTTGTATGCGTCATACCACTCGTTTCCGTATCATATCTTCTTTGTCGATTCGTATAGAACCTGTTCCCCAAGTCTTCCCTTTTCCTCCTGGGCCTTGAATTCTTGAAAGCAGCTCGAATTGTCATCAAGAGATTGTAGACTGATTTAAACTTGGGAGACGAACATCATCTATGAATCTATGAACTTTAGCAATTCCCAAGCAGATTGACGAACAAACATGACAACCCTGGCCTGGCCGGGTCTGGAATTCAATGCTTACAATGGTTTGACCAGACCCATTTGGTCTACTGCGATCCACCCGGTGCCTGGCTGAGGCACCACGTGCCGAATTGATGGTCAAAGCACGGTGGGTGGAACTCCTGTGGTGACCCTCAGTCAGGCCGCGCGCTCCGCGGCCAACCTTCGAAGCTTTCCTGCTTCTCTCCCGGCTTCTCTCCGCAGGTTCCGGTGACCTTGCAGGATTGCCAATTGCGACATGGCACCAACTACCAATTGGTGACCTATGTGGAGGACAGAACTGAACAGATTTGGAGACATGTTGGAAGAACAGGGTTGCTCTTCTTCTTGTTGGCCACCTTGCTTGGTGTCCCTCTTTGGGAAGACTGCCAATGACCCTGCGAAGGATACGAACAATCGAACCGATGGAACTCTCTACTTCGTTCCAATCCAAACACCACCAGGCCAGGAGAGTGGGTAGCGGGTTTTTGGGGAGCACCTCGCTACGAACGGATGAAGGCCATCGCTAGAAGGCTATTCGGTCGGAGGCCATTGTTATTAGCTTGGTAGCACCACATGGGCTTGGTTTCAGGTCCAGGCGAAGGTTTTAGGTCGAGTGCGACGGTTTAAGCGTCTGGCCATGGAGACATTCGTCCCACATGCGTCCACATTCGAAGGTACTTGTATAAGAATCTTGAAGCCTTACGACGCTACTAGGGGCTCAAGGCATCGCTACTCACTAGGAGCAAGAAGCTACTAGTAACAAGTGCATCGCTTCTAGTAACAAGTGCCTTACTAGTAGTAACAAGAACGCTACTAGGGGCTCCTGGCCCTGCTACTAGTAGCAAGAGGACGCTACTAGGTTGGAGACGCAACGTCCATGGGTTTTTAAGCCTCGTTACCGATGTCCCGTCGGACGCTCGGCTCGTACGGCGGCGGCCGCGGCGGACGGCGGAAGTTCACAAAAAAGCGGGGAAACCGGGCCGCAGGGCCAACTCAAAGATCAAAAGGGCGACCAAGCCATCTTCTTTTTTTTGAGTTTTTTGATGTTTTTTGTTCTTTTTGTCTCTTCAGACCCTTGTGACATGATTGTTCTCTTTGCCCTGAGAAGAAGAGGCATCTCGAATGGCTTCATCGACTTCCCCATCGTGGCCAACGCCACGGAAAGCATGGTGACCTTGTCCTTCACAGCCTCCAATCTGGTGGGAACTGCTTGGATTCTCATTTTGTCGGCGGGCGACGTGGGCCTCGCCCTCAGTGATTGCTCAAAGACGCTCAGTTTTTGGAGACGCAAGGATCCAACCCATCTTGACAAAGACTGTTCAGCCATGTTCAGCCACCGCGACTCTCAGGTTCAGCCACGGCTGCTTCTGTCATGAACAGACCTCAACTTTTGAGTGGTAGTTCTGGACCCAGTTAGTTGAACAGTCGGAGCTGAGGGCCGGAACTGGTGCACTGGGCGGCTCCCTTTGCCAGCTGGAGATGACCATCGACAACACTCCGCTTCTCGGACTGCAGGAAGCCATCCGTTCGCAGCGACCGTTGACAGTGACCGTTGTGCCCAAGGACAGAGCCAGAGACTCAGTGTGAGCCCAGAGCACTTGGAAGCCGAGACCGCAAGATTGGATTAGTCTCTTATCTCACACGACTCTGCAAGAGACTCACGACTCGCGCAGTTTGCTGTGAATCAAGACAGAAAATATTGGACATTAGATGACAAGCTAGTTTTCTTTTCAGAAGACCTTCCCTCAGGTCTGGAATTCCTCACAACCTGATTTGCACATTGTGTTGCGCTGTCTAACAGGAATACAACAGCTGCTCCAGAAACGGTGTTGGCGGTGCTTTCGCCCTGCTTTTGCCGAAACATCCCAGGGTCAACATGGACAACTGCTCGTTGGCCTTCTCCATGGACTACGCAGTAATGGCCCCTTTGACAGCACAAGAAAGAGCTAGGCAGCTTGGTTCGAAGCGAGCTCTTTGGTTCCGTATGAGGTCTATGTGGCCGATGTTGGCATGCATGACGATGGTGGCTTCCCAGCATCTTCGCTGTTCTTGCCAATCATTGACTTTGAAAACAAAGAAGTTTCTCTACTGGTCGACATCACATTGTTTTATGCATGCTGAGATTCGAGGCCTTTGCTCTGCAAGCAGCCTAAGAAAAAGGTATCATGCGAACCAATAGTATATACCTTTGAGCCACTAAGGTCACTTCTATTCCTCAGGTCATGACCAGTGCTGACAAGGGCTCGTAAAGCTTTTCATGGATCGATTTCCAGCTTGCACAGCATCCCCGAAGGTTCTGAGCAGATTTCTTTGGAACGTACACATCTCTGAACACGGAAAGTACAGCCGACAGCTCTGCCCATGGAGATCGCCACACCCTCCCGCGGCACGCGACGCGGCCAAAGCAAGCGGCGCTGCTCGGCGTGATGGCCCGGGCGACCATTCTCCTGGATGATGAGCCAGATGGGCCTGAAATGGTAGACCTACCTATGCGCCTGGTCGGTCTCACACAGGCCAGGCAGCTGAATGGTCAAGTGGTCGTTGTGAAACGCTTTGTGACCGAGAAGCAACGCTATGAAGTGGAGCTGTGGCAGAGTAAGGAAGTGAAATCTGTTCAGGTGGCGAATTTGGAGTGCTTACCGGTGGACCAAGAAGTGGGACTTTGGGCCCAACTCTTTCAAGAGGCCAAATCGGAGGACGTCCAAGGATGGCTCAACCGCTTGGAAAAGCTGCCGATCACCACGGCGATGCTGGCCGAACAGAACCTTCCGAAGGTGATCAATGCCTTTGCGAAGCGCTTTCCCCAGGCTGACACGGCCATGAAGGCGCGCCAGCTCATTCATAAGTGGCGACATCAGTTTCGCAAGGAGAAAGAGGACGCCGGGAGGGAGGAGAGGCAGCGACCGGTTCCTCGTGAAGGGACGCAGACTGCCGGTGGTGCCGGTCCTGGTCGAAGTCCGGAGGTTCGTGAGGCCGCGCCGCCCGCGCCGCGTGTGGAGATGGTAAGGATGTCAGGCCCAGAGGATGGTAAGACGCTGGCCAGTGCCATGCGCAGCTGCGGATCAGAACAGATGCGGATGGGTTTGCTGTCAGCCTTAGATAAGTCCGCCAAGCACTCGATGCTGTCCTTCATCCAGAATGGAGGACTAGAACCATTGACAAGATGGCTGAAGCAGAGCCAAACTGCTCGCTATGCCTGTTTGGTGGTTTTGCAAAAATTGCCGGTCACTTTGCAAGATCTTCAGAAGGGCCATCTCATCGAAATTGTGGAAGCCATTCAGAAGGAAGATGATCCGAAGAATCGCGCCGAAGCCACTGCGTTGCTGGATCGCTGGAAGGCTGCTGGATTCATTCAGCAAGAAGTGAGGCGCCCGGCCAAGAGGCTTCGAGCTGAGGATTTCGACCTAGCTCAGCCTGATGTGCCAGTGTATCAGACTGCGCAGCCAACATCTCACGGTGCTCAGCCTCGAACGCCTCCCTTGCAGACGTTGCCGGCTGCTCGTCCAGAGTTCATTCCCAGGGATCTTCAGTCGCTGGATCCTCGCATCGTCAAAGTGTTGCTGGAGCGACCTCAACTCCATGAGCTCTTGCAACAACATCCAGATGTGCTGCACCAACCGAGTCCGGAAGCATTGGCATGCATACGCCGACTGTTGAGCAACTCTCAACAGAAACACCAAGATGATGACTCAGCTGGATGCACCATTACAGTTTCACGCTTGTCAGAGAATTCCACCGAAGAGGACGTGTCACAGCTCTTGGTTGACATCGGCCTGCAACCCAAGAAAGTCACCTTGCCACGTGAAAGCAAGCGCAAGAAGTCTTGCGGCACCGCATTTGTTTTGCTACCCTCAAAGTTAGATGCTGACAAGGCGGTGGAGAGGCTTCATGGAGCACATCTCAATGAGAAGGTCCTGGTGGTGAACTATCTCGACCCGACTCATTCCACTGACCCGACTCATCATGATGGCGGCCGCAGAGTGCAATGGAAGCCCGACTCTCAACTCTGGGAGGCGCAGATGGACACCCTGGAGTTGAAACGTCCAGTGGAGCTCTCCAGTCAAAGGTCTTAGACAAGAACGGTCTTAGACTGTTAGACAGGACAAGTCCTTTCTGAGATTTGAACGGTTTTGAGCCATCTCTCCGGCCAGACGTCCTTGAACCGTTTTGAAGTAGCTCCTGGCCTTACTGGTAACAAGGTTCGCTACGAACGGAACCAAGGGGCATCGCGACGAACCGTTCGCGCTCGCATGGCGGAAGCGAACGTAGCTCGAACCGTTCGATTCCCGTCTGTCGCAGGTCATCGTCTTCTCCCCAGACGAAAGCGTTGAGACTTTGAGGCGACGGATTGACAGGAAGGAGTTTCAACAGCTGAGGAGCGGGGTCGACGTTCAACGAACGCGACGGATCGGTTGTCCGTCTCGAATCGAACAGGTGACAGGTTACCATCGTGGTCCACTTCACATTCCAACAGAGTAATGTTACTTGGCTGGTCTTGGTGTCATTGAGAAACCGTGGCCCCCTCATGGTAACCTGCAGGAGTGACGTGGCACCTCCCACGGAGCAGAGCCACCCGGACCTCAACCGGGCACGGTCGGCGCAGCAGAAGGAAGAGTCCGAGTTTAACCGGAAGGCCTTGGCGGCGCTCATCGACAATTAGGAGAAGAAGTCAAGCGGAAATGAAGCACGATCACCTTGGTGACCACCGCGGGTGTGCGAGGGAAAAAAGGGATGGAACACGGATGAAGACAACCAGGATTGGAAAAAACGACGCTTTTAGGTTTGGAGGCCATCACTAGTAGGTTGGAGGCCATCGCTTCTAGGTTGAAGACAGGATAAACCAACGACGCGCAGGGGTTGAGCCGTCCGCTTCGGGTGCGCGTTGTCTCAGTGGCTTGGACGACCTGGCTGGTGGCGCCGAGTACCTGAGGTGCCTTGGCAGCTGCACCGTTCCGGAGTCCCACCTCCAATGCCTTTGTCGTGATGCCGTCGCTCTCCAGCCCGATCTCCACAGATAGTCGGACCCTGAACGCCATCGATAGAGGCTATCTGAGATAAAAGGAACCTAGTAGCAAGGAAAACTACGGTAATTACTTACCGTACTATAGAGATGGGCTCCACTCGATGTGGGCATCGGCTTGCATTCAGAAGTGAGTGCCCAGGGCTTTTTGCAGATATGACACCATGCATGGTGCAAATCCATTGAGACACTTAGGCTTCAATGTGTCTGTCGAGGTGGCCTTTGATGGAACGGCGAAGGGAAACTGAGACATGGACCGTGGATAAACAGACATTGAAATGGCAAGAAATGAGAGTGAGAGTGTTCATGCCTCAACTCGGAAGATACCAGATAAGCAATGACAGTGCCGAGCCCTGTGTGCTGTGCCAGACCACCAAAAGCGGACATTTGTGGGCCTATGTGGTGAGCGAGGCGTGAGTCTGAGGGTGAAATGCCGCAGAGTGCCTGACACTTTGATCGCATGATGGGACTCTGTGATTAAGAACGGATTCGAAGGCCTTTCCTTCACATGATGCACATGATTGGTTTTACGAAAGCGCTTAGAAAGCCTTACATTTGGATTGCCTCGAGCAAGATGGAGCAAGAAAGCTTTTCAACAATTTAGGTTTTCCTTCTTTCCTTTCCACATCTTTCCACCCTAGTAGCGACGGCCAACCTAATAGCAGTACTATAGCCCCTCCTTCCTTTTTTCGTAACGATCGGACGCTACGAACGGGGCTCCCCGACCGTGCGAGGCCAATGCACCGCTGGTCACGGTTCTGAGCCAAGAGAGTTACTGTGCATCCCTTGCGTTGGGAGAAACGAGGAGTTACTCAGCTCCTTACTCTTCTTCTTCATGTTCGACTCTTTGAGGTGGCTACTGCAAAGTCTGGACAGATGTGGGCGTGCCGCCCTTCATGTTGTACATCTTTCGTTTGACCGCCCGGGTCGTACCGTGGGCCGCCCGGCCGCGTGCCTCAGGTACGGCGCCTTGAGCTGCCGAAAGCTTGGAGAGGCGAACGCGAAGCTCGGGACGTCGATGTCGATCGGCGATAGCCATCCAAGCTGCTAGCGAGAGCGATCCAACCTACTGGCGGGTTTGGTTTGAAGCGTGTTGGGAACGTTTGGTTCAAATCAGTGCAGACTCCGCATGGCAGTCCGTCACTGCATTCTTCACAGTGGGTGACCTGGGAAGAATGGTCGAACGGCCTTCGACACGTCACCGTGGAGGTCATTAAAGATGGCCCGATGGAGTTGATGTTCAATGGATGTTCGATGCTCGCAACTGAGTGCTTCATGTCCTTCTTGAAACACACTCACACTGGCGTGAAACACACGAATTTTCATGTCCTTCTTGGCTTTGAAGATCTTTGAAGCAGTATGTGATGTTTCTTCATGGCGGCTGATCTGGGCTCAAATTCCCGAGAAGGCTCAGAGTTCCCAATTCTTAGACTGCTCCAGAGAAGGCACAGCACGAGATGTCGGGTGGAATGTGATGGTTGGCAGATTTGGATACTTTCCTTTTTCTTGGATTTGATATCAACGCTAGTAAGTTGGAGGCCATCGCAAGTAGGTTGGAGGCCAGCGCTATTAGGTTGGATTTGATATCAACGCTTGGTTGCACACTTAGATTTACAAACAGTTTCATACAGCGAGGGTGAACTTCCAAGGAAGCAGCTTCGCCATCGGGATGAACTTCTTGCATGTTCTAGCAACCTACGAGCAAAAACAAATAAAGAAAGAAAGCATAACAAAATTAGGAAGGGAAGAAAAGGAAGAAAGAAAGATAAGAGCAGGTAGACAGGTCTAAAGACACCAGAAAAACACACAGGATGAAAGAAGAAAGGGAAAGAACAATGAAAAGGAGCCATAAGCTACCTGAATTCACTACTTCCGCCTGCCCCTGCTGACCCCCTTCACGGCCTGCCCGGTACTCCTCCAAAAATTGCACAGAACTAAAAAAAAGAGAAAAGAAGCATTCCAACCTACTAGCAAGCAGGCCTCCAACCAAGCAGAAGCGAACAAAAAGGATGTTCTCGAAGCTTTAGACCCGAAAACATCAACGAAAGACGCTGTAAAACCATCGTTTCGGTCAGTCTGTCGGTCAGATGAAGCTCTTGAGGTTCCTTGGCTGCAGTTCCTCTCAGCTCGCGTATTCAGGGTAAGCTTAGTGTGCGAGTACTGCAAGTATTTTGGGAGTGCGACCTATTTCAATCTATTCATTCATCCGGTTCAAACAGCCTTGCAAGACTGCACAGAATCGTCACAAGAATGGCTTGAACAGATTTTCCTTGGGGGGTTCTTTTGTTTTTGTGTTTCGCAAGTTTTTTGTGTGTCTTCATCTTCCTTTCTTGAACGTCCTCTTGATAGAAGGCTTCCAACACAAGCTGCACAGAACGATTGTGCATCGATCTTTTTCAACTCAGGGCGCTTTCGTTGTTCCTTTCTCTGGCAGCGGTTCATGGTCAAGAGGCCGGAGCTTTCTAGTATGTCTTTGATCGCTACTAGTAACAAGAAGCTACTAGGTGGAGGCCATAGCTACCAGGGTGGAGGCCATTACAAGCAACAAGAAACTACTAGTAGCTCCTGGCCTTACTACGCCTTCGGACGCTACGTTCGGGGCTGGCATCGCGACTCGAACGGAGCATTCTTAGTAACAGGAAGCTTTCTACGTCAAGGGTCCCCACTCTTCCACGAGACATTTCTACGCCACGCGACCGTGCTTTTGCAGCCGAAAAAACGCATGTTGCCAGGACGATGCAGGCCACCGGGATGTGATGCGTGTGCTTTCGATGTGTTCACCACCGAATCGTTTTTTTGAGACATCGCAGCGAGCGTGAGACGAGACAGTCACGGCCGGAGACGGTATTGACAGGTGAGACGCCAGACTTTGATGAGCTCATGACTGAGATGGACACCAACAAGGCCAGAGCGGCTTCTGTTGGGCGCAAGTAATATACTGGTAGTAGCCTTTGGGCATCGCGACTAAGAACAAGTGCATTACTATAGCAAGAGACTACTAGTAGCAAGTGCATTGGATTTGTGTTTTTTCCCTCATCCCTGGCCTCTCTTCACAGGTGCTTCGTTCATACCCAAGCTTTTTCTCCAGCCTCCCCTGTCGGCACTCGACTGGGAAGAGAGACCGTTCCCAGGATGGTAAGATATCCTGGGAAGAAATGTTTGGAGGCCAGTTTACGACTAGTAACAAGTGCCACGCTACTAGTAACAAGAAGCTATTAGTAACAAGTGCCTTACTATATAGTAACAAAAAGCTATTAGAAACAACAATTAGAATTTCATGGTCGACAGCAAGTTGCCAACTGTGTTCGATTCATCGGAAAGGACGTGGACTCGTCGTGTTCGTCGTGTTTTTTAGAGGTGAAGAGGGGGGGTGAAGATGACTGGCCTGAAGACATCAAGCAGAGTTACAAGGCAACCTACAAGGACGGAGACAAGTGCATCCAAGGAAGGACCTTCTTGGACCTTCAGACCTTCCTCTATTCCTTTTTTGAGAAGCCCTCCCTACTTCCCCCCCTCCCTACTTAATTAAGTAGAAACTACCTACTTAATGAAGTAAGGGAGAGGAGCTAGTACCTTACTAGTGCGCTACTAGCATGGACGCAGGATAGTTCACACTATTCATTTGATTCCTAGAGTTGTACGAAAACTTAAGTTCCCCCCCTACAGCTGAATGAAGTACTTTCCTTTTAGTTACTTAATTCCTTTCTTTTTTTAAAGACTGACTGATATAATTGTTTCTTTCTTCAGACCGTTTGTATTCTGTTTTGAACCACAATTCTTTTGCAGTACAACACTGTTGTTGCTGCAGAGTTCTAGATCTTTCAACAGAGACGGTCTTTTTGGTCTAGTCATGCTGTCAACTTGAGGAGTGCGATGTGGACGGAGACGGATTGATCAACAGACAGGACCTTTGTCCAGCACTGTCCGTGTGGCGAGAGTGTGTCCGCGAGAGCAGAAGTTCTTTCGTCGATGAGAGGAGCTGCCAACTCTGTTTGAGAAGTTCTCTGCCTTGGAGGAGACCAAGACGAGAACATTCCTTTTCTCAAAGAGACTCTTGTGTTTAAAAGAACACGATAGTTTCTTTCTTCTCTGATTGTTTTGGATTTGGACCTACACCTCACTTTCTTTCTTGCGTAAGTAAGTGTTACTGGAAGTATTTGGTGCTCCAGACTCCAGACCGCCCGATTTTTTGCGGACACATCGGAGGTTCGCTTAAGGCAACAAGTAAGGACGGTAAGGACAGCAAGTAGTTGGCGCAGAAGAAGTAGCAGTAGCTCTAGTAGTTAGTAGTAACAACCGGTGAGTATTCGTAAAGCTTCACCTTCCGCCTTCAAGATGTTCAAGATCTCCCCAGACAATGTGTTTGTTTCCTTTTTTTTTCTCGTCCGGGAAGTGTCACCTTCAACTCGTCTGCGAGGATGCTGAAGATGAAAAGGAAGAGAGCGACGAGATCTGACGGAGAAAGCTCCGACAGCTCCTACAGCTCCGAGAGCTTCACAGAACAATGGAACTGTGAGAACCGTCCGACAAGTGCCGGATGTTTATGTAGTTCTCTTGCGTAGCCGGCGTAGCCCTGCAAGTTAGATGGTCAGACGCAACAACTGATATCATATTCAGTGTATTTGCATACTGCAGGGAAA